GAACTGAAGCAGCAGCTGCTGATGTCATTACGCTCTTGCGCGGTGCTGCGTTCAGGACAAGCATGGAAAACTCACCACTCTTATATACGGTCGCAATGATGCGTTTAGGTACCGAAATGGAATTGCATGAACATTCACGTGGTGGTTATGTAATACAGCGAAGCGATAATAAAAAATTTGCGTCGACAAATTTACATAATCGACATCATCGATTATTTCAACTAATCGGTGCAGCCCTAAACTAAAGCCACGCCTTTACTTTAATCCTGATCATAACCAACAAAGATAGGTTTTGCTGTTAATATTGTTTAATTCTCAAAACTAAAGAAACATCTGTGAATGACAGCGAAATGTGCAGCTGAGCGGAGCCGCACCCCCGAGCCACAGTGATCTGGGGGGCTTCAGGCTGTGGGCTTCAGGTGCTCTGTGGCAGGTGCACTTCGTGGCTGATGATCAAACTGTGGTACAATAACCTCACATGTGCCAGATCACACGCAGCTGCTGATCGACGTTGTTGCAGCAGCTCAGGTTTCTGTTTTAAAAATCACCAGATTTGTCTCCTGCACCCACCTCGTCCTCTCAGGTGGAGCGTGAAAATATTTCTGTGGATCCTTTTTTCTGACAGCTGGTTTAAAAACAACTGCCCGCTTTGTTTCATTCTTTTAACCATTCCACATACCGTGGAAATTTTTGAGCATGTTCGAAATTCTGCACTGGGATCTCCATATGACAACGTATGTCCTCTTATATTAACTTGTTGGTAAGTTATCCTAAAATGATGCCTTAGATTTTTTCATTATCTGATGCCGTGCATCACTGTGTGACCGCTGCTGACATCTCATTTTCCTCCATTACGCTGCGCAGAGGTTCTGCAGAAGTTCCACTAATGTTGCACATACAGAAGTCCAAACATGTTATAATAAGCTTGTACATGTTATGTTTAAGGTAGGGATCATTTACTCATAGGTTTTATATCTGTTCAAGTTGTTAGGAACACGGTATGATCACGTCCAAAACAAGGTGCTAATTAATGCTTTTTTTTTCCCTCAGAGTGTGCCAGTGCGTTGGACACAATTTGCAAATGTCAAGTTGTCTAAAACGTCATAGTGTGACAGGGCCCCAACTAAGCAAAGCTTAGCAGTGTCTCCTCAACACTGCTGGACATGTACGCACCAGAAATATGGAGTCCAGCTGGGTCTGATGCTGCTGGACAGACTGAGACCTGGGAACCTCTGAGCTCTGCTGCTTCACTCTGTGGAGGAATCAAGAAGAAATATTTTGAACAAAGTTTTTCTGTTCAATAAATAATTCTATTCAAAAATACTTTATTGATCCCAGAAGAAGAAATTAGGTTATACTAATAGGTAATAGGGGTGTAAGAAAATATTGATACACTGATATATCACGATATTTCATTTCCCGATACTGTATCGATATTCTAAAGCCCTGTATCGATTTTTTATTAAGGTTTAAAATGTCAACTTTCCTGCCAGCCGTTCATTTTTATGTTGTAGTTCAGCTTCTGACCACTAGTTGGCAGCAGTGAGCCAGCCATGCGGCTCCTCCACAGCTTGAGCAAAGCAGAACAGCTAAATGTATCAAAAGTATGTCTA